GGGGGTCGTCCAATTTAGGGTTTTTTTTTAAGAAAAGACATGTTTCTGTGTGAACAAGATTTATCTAAAAAAAGAAAAACCTTCAAAAAGTGCTTGGTGAGCTGCAGTTTCACAACAGTCAGCTTTATGGTAAGGCTAAATAAAAAGTCTTTTATTTTAAATGTTTGTTCGTGAAATTGCAATGATTGGAGCGTCTGAATCTGCACACTTATCTTGGGTCATACAAACACAATATGGTTCCAAAGCAGTGTGACAGCAACATAGAGGCTATCAAATGTGTGGCTGCACTGTGGCTGCACACACTGAATACTAAAGTCCCTTCGCTTTGGATGCCGCAAAATATAAAAGTGTCATTTGCAGTTGGATGATTGCGCCTCGCATTCAAAGGTATTGTGATGAAAATTTAATACCAGACAATGTGCTCTGCCAGTAGGGACACATCCAGACAACCTGGGCCCTTTTGTACAAGGGTCAGTTTCTATTGATCTGACTGACATTGGTGTTGTGCGGTGAGTAGAGATKGTGTGATTTCTACCTGCTCTGATGCAAGATAAAGAGAATTGTAAATCGATTCCATTGATGTTCGTCTTGCTTTCTTTTTTTCCCTCCCCTTTCCTTCATCTCTTTAATTTAGCTTACAGTACAATGGTCTCTACAGTCCCGTCTAAGGTAAAAAAAAAAGTGTCCCACACGCCTCAGAGATGACACTTCAATAGCTGTTGAGCAGATAAGAATAACATGCCAGCGAGCATTAACGGTGTATTGTCGACTCATCCGCAGATAATGCTCTCTGTCTGTGGATGTGATTCAACAAGACAGTAAAGGGGTGGAAATGTTTCAAAGTGATGATGTCATGTCTGTAAAACGCTGTCTTGAAGCACAAGGTCACAGAAGAGGGAGAACATTTATAGATCTTTAAAAAACTAAATAAATAAAAAGAACATTACATTGCAGATTTCCTCTCCTTTCTGTCTTTCTTGTTTATTGTTAGTGCTAATAATTAAATATGAAATAACTTTACCTAATATTCATCCCCCTCTTTGTTCCTCAATTTCCCTTTTTTTAATTTATCCACACTGTTAATGATTTCCAGCACAGCTTCACGCCTGTTAAAAGATATTATGCTCCGAGTGGCTCGCAAAGCCAATTTGGATTAGTGCTGTTCGTGGTCCAGTCTGTGTTAAAGGTGTCTACTGCCTCCTGGTGGAGGAAAACTATACATGCAGATGACGGTTTCTATTAAACAAGAGAGAAAATATGTAAAAACATCTTAATTTTCATATAAGAACTGTATTTTCCCAAAGTAAATATTTACTTAATAATCCTAAAAATCCATGCCAACTCTATACAATGTAATGAATTACTTTGCACAGTAATTGGATACATGTGCCATGTTCTCAACAATTAATTACGTAGACCTACAACTATTATCAAATTACACTTCAGGTAACAAAATGCCTTAGAATAGACTGAAAAAAATAATACATACTTACTGTTTTATAACACGCTATATTATTTTTCTCAAAATTGTAAATTGTTTATTACTTCAACTGGTTGCACCTCATTTGTGCAAAACACTGCTTGGAGATGCAGCCATTTCGACCATGATTCAGCAGTAACAAGCAGAAAAAAATGAGCATAAAATTAGGCATAATTTAAATTACATAAATTTAATAAGTTTGAATGAACAAACGAAAGTTTACACCCAAACAAGAAACAGTAGTCCTCTCTCTCGTCACTTTTAATGAAGGTTTATAGTCACGTTTGTCCTGTTATAAAGACATTATATCTGCCTGAAGCTGAAACATGTTATAACAAGCACATTATTGTCCATCAGCTGCGGTGGAGAGACCGTTCAATGTAATTACACTGCAAACCTCCCAGTTGTTCACCCACAAAATCACCTCTAAATGTCCAACCAGCACAAAAGCCAATAAAACTGGCTTCATTAGTTAGAAAAAGATGGAAAAACAATGGTCCAATACGAGTCAAATGACCTGTTTTAGCTCTGAGGTGGCGTGTTCTGCCAGCCGAAAAGACAATTTTTGTTTATTTGGCGCCCGTCCCACCGAAGGCAGTTGCTGTAAGATGTGGACAAAGACAGACAGGCGGTTTGTACCTCTATGAGCCAGCTTTTGTAGGATCACCCTGAGGCGTTGCAGAGCAGAGGAAGAAATATCGTACGTGTATAAGTCTGCCCCGGCCAACTCCTGGCACCGTCCGAACACTCCGTCTGCACAGAGGGAAGGACATGGTGAGAACAGGTTTATGACAAGCAAAACAACATTTTCAGCACACGTTTCGGGACTCTGATGATGCCTAATGACGTCTTCAGGCTCGGATGAAAGGCTGTAATCATGTGAGGCACCTGCAGCGTTTCGTACATCTGATTTTTATTCTATTCTCGAAGGAGTGGGGGGGTAATAGCTGACATTTTTTGTCTGACAGCTCTACGATAAGCAGACAATCACAGCAGAAAGGACTTTATCAGAGACCTTGGTAATCTCCCTATCAGCAGGCCTCCTGCCTGAGTTGCCAGGCAACTCACGCCACAGACTCACTATCAGCCCATAATTCAATGGCTGGTCTAGACCTCTGAAAGATGCTTGAGGAGGAAGAGGGGGGTCAGAAAGCAGTGTGTAAATGTGAGGTCTGGAATATAAATGAACCAAGCTACCACTTTTTTTTCCCCCTCGGCTGAGAAGATAAATTTCTGCACCTTGTTGGCGAAACTCTCCAAACGTRTAAGTTTTAGTTTAAAGACGATCTCTGGAGGCAGATGCAACCAGAGCATATGTGAGGTTTCACGTGAGAGTATGTGAAAAAAATATGCCGCTGTGATTAGATGGGGACTAATGATGTGAATCAACACTTGGTCATACATCACAGCCTTCTATTAATTAGCCTCAGGATATCAGACAGTGACAGCAGACATTAATGACGACGCTTACATATCCACAAAACACACGCAGATTTGGTGTTCATTATTTGTTGTAGGTTGTTTTTTTCTCTTCATTTTTAACCCTGGTTGTAGTAAAATAAAATCAACCTGGTATCAACCAGGGAGCACAGAATAAAATCAATATCACAAAGCATTGCAATAAATTGCAGACACAAACTGCATGCCAGTATTAAAGGACTGAGCTTTAAATAAAAATTCTTCTTGTGATGAAAACTTAGTTATGGCCATTTTAGTCAAACCTTGTAAACGATGTTGCAGTGTGTACCATCTCATGATATTGTGAGATCTTGTGAGATGTGTTAKTGCCATATTTTTGGGATAACTACTGTATCTGCTACTACCATACCAACTTTTAGCTGGCTTTCTGTAATTTGACTTTTTATGTTTTGGCTAACAATGTCAAATAGCTGAGGTGGCCATCTTGAATTGCAGAAACTCTAATCAGATGCAGATAATCATGTGGTGAGAGTTTCATTAAAATCCATCCAGCAGTTTTTAGGATATTTTGTAGTCAGGGTTGTAAAATGTGTAGTGCTTAGAGTGTGTGGGGATGATGCTCAGCTACTACCACGTTATAGCRTTATAACTGCAAAATTCACAGATTTATAGCCCATTTTTAGGTTTCCTAAAGATAGATAGATGTATGATAACTTTTAGAGAGTTTCATTAAATGTCATCCACAGTTTCATGAAAAAAAAAATGCTAACGGAACAAACAAACACGTATATCTTATGATCTCACATTTTGTTATATGAATCTGATTAAGAAGGTGAATAAGGGTGAATAAATATCATTAGTTAAATATGTTCGGTAACAATAGATAAAAAAATATTGTGTGATCACAGTATAGTTAATGCCTGGCCACAAGATATTTAACGTGTGGCCCTGAGATCATTTTGAGCAGCCAAATCAAGTGTCTCTTTGTGACARATACAGACATTGYTGGAGTCAGATTATATATAAATATGCTGTTTTTGTGTTTAACTGTTCAAAGGTACGCCACACATATTTTTTTGGAGTATGTTTAATCCAAAGACTCCATGGTTCACTCTAAACGGGTCATTTTTCATGGTACAAATATTTATTAGATGACATTGATAGGTTTCTTTCAGTGACAAGTTTAATGACTACTCAGTAAAAGTAATTCAGTAAACAAAAAGAAAAGAAACTGGAGGTATTGAACAAACTAGGAGACGCTCTGCAGCTATTCTGAGCTCTCAGACAGGAAAAGTTTCCACCTACAGACGTGTGTGCATCACAAGACTGCCATGATTGTAGGTTTTGCTGTTTTGCCAGCCGGCAATCTATTCTAATACAAGCCCACACATGCTCACACAAATAACACTTTGTTTTAAAGAAAATTGCAATATTTTACATAATTTAATGACAAGAAAATTGCAAAGTTAGAAATAAAAGGGTGTCTGGTGACATAACAAATGACAGGAAACCGTTAAATGTTTAAAGCTCCAAATCCCTCAGCGGTCTTCATGGTGATAGTTATTTCCATTTCCGTTGTCAGGGACATTCCCATAAATAGAGAAGGAAAAAGTATTCTACGACGAAGAAATCTCTGTTTAGCAAGCGTAACTTCCCACAGATTTATTGAGATGTTGATCGCAAAGATTTGTTCCATCCCTTTGTTTTGTGTGTTAATTCACATTACTGTGGGGATCAAGACGAGACTCATTTTAGTTGACAGCTTGAAGAAAAACAGAACACGTTTTTTTTTCCACACTCTTTTTTTGACAGCAAAAAACAACAATTTAATTTCAGGCCTGGAGGAGCGCAGCATGTGTTGCATCCGCCGAGGCTTGTCAAAAGCTGAAAATAACATGAGAAAAAGCAGAGCAGCTGAACTGAGTTTTTTTTTTCAAAGATATGTCAGCTATTGTGCCAAAAATATAATGTATGTGGGCGATTGTCTTGTGAATACATATTTGGCTTGATCCTTGTGATATATATATTTTTATTTTTTTTGCCATTTTGTAACCCAAAATATGTTGGCAGCAAAACAAATTGAGTAACTGAAGAAATGCATATCACCCGCAGCCTTTAAAGCCAGAGTTTTAGTGTTGAAGAATGGCACAGTTGTGGTTTATGAACTATTTTACAAACAAACAGATATACATTCACAGGTAAATACACTCAAGTTCTGCCTTCAGCTGCAGGCCATAATAAACCTTGATCAATAATAATGCAAAAAAAAAAAAGAAAGAAAAAAGCCACAAACCAAAATCAATTAATCAATCTTTAAATGCACAATCCAGTAAGAGGGACATCTTCAGTAAAGAGGAGCTGCATGTGGATTTACTGCATGTTGACAAGAATAAGGAAGATTTTCAGCTTAAAAAAAGGTGAAAAAGCATTAAATCCAGACACCGTCTCTCTTCCCACTGAGACATAAAAAGCAACACTAAAGCTACTTAAACTGTGAAAGCTAATGCTGGGGAATAACAGGAGCCAAAACACCAAAGCTGACAGTCAGCAAAGCGTTTCTTAAAGACTGTATGTCAGAGCAGAGGCAGGCGAACCCGGGAGACAAATGAAGACGTATTGGAACAGGTGTATTAGCTGTGCAATTCATGTCAGGAAAATGAATGGGCTGAAATCAATGTGCCGAGACCGGCCAGATGTAGTCCGCTAATGAAAAACGGTGCAGGRACAAAAGCTAAAGTGATCACGGTCTGACTAATGAAGTGTTTACGACTTATTTTGGCCTTTTATTGCGACAGTTGTGGCTCTGATATGATAATTATATTTATGCATGAGTGTCAAGCACATGTAAATAGAAGAATTAATAAAGATAAACCAGACTCTCAGAGCCAACATCAAAGCTCGCTGCTTACTAAACGTGGCTCTGAAGTATAATTAATCTTTACAATAGCATTTTTTATTTTAGGGAACACATTTGTTTCATTTTTACCAGTAAATATTTATCTATGATTCCGGGTTATGTGGGCAATCATGTTGTTGCCTTGTTTTTTTGTAAGTGTTTGTGTGTCTATTAGCATATTATCTCATAAACTACAAGACAAACTTAATGAAACTAACTAACTAGCTAACTTTTGGAATCAATCCATTTTAGGTTTGTGCATAATTATGGCATAAATGGCAGCARGCAATATTAATTCCTTTAAGGAATACAAGGTCTTTAACTGATTATGGTTTTGCCTCTTCATCCCTTTTTTCTCTGCCCATGCAGGGCTTTTTCATTGTTGCATTTTGTTGTGTTTATGCTKCAGTTGCACTTGTTACTGATCGATAAACGTTTCACCTAAATCATTTAAATGTAAAATACAGTGCAGACGTTTCAGACAATATTGGTCCAAGAGGAGGCACGATRACCGCAGATCGATTCAACACTGTTGGTTAAGTGTTTAATAGAAGCCAACCTGCACCCCGGGGGAAACATGTAGCACTTATTCGCTGCACTTTAGCTTAGCGTATAAAACCAGTAGACCAAAGACTCCGAAGAGCTGCAAATTAAAATGCCTTTCCAGGTTAATCACTTCTCCTTTTAAAGGAACTTCTAGAAAATCTTTTTTTTTTTTTTGAAGATATGACCATGCATTTAATCTGAGACACGACAGCAGGAGACTGAATGATGATGCACTAAATCAACGATATGGTAAYATCTGTAAAAACTAAAAAGAAATTAATTTGAATTATTTTTGTTCTTTAATCTTTTAGTCCTGATGGGAAAGTAACCCCGACCTACTGGGTTAATTAGCTGTAACAGTATTTACCAAACACTCCCTGTAGATTTTATTTCATTGTGCCAAAGGTGTCATTTTATTGGAGTTATTTTTTCTCCCCTTTGAATGAAATCACAGTTGGCAGGAATGTGAAATGTTAGGATTGCAGTTTTCAAGGCTGATTTTGATCTCTGATTCAAATTTATTCTCAAGAACTATAATTGAAAGCACACAATATATTTTTTTCTAGTTTGTAATTAGAAGAAATAGTCAAGGATTTAAAATTTTGACAGTAAGTTCATACACTGGTTGCTACTTTTTTTCAGGTTACAGGAAATTTTTCATTCCATCCATCCATCCATCCATCCATCCATTTTC